GAACCATACGCTATCATGGATGGATCTGAAGTTGCTGGCTATCCGTAGCGACTGGGATACCGTTGTGCTATCCTACTCAGCAACATTACATTGCCTACGATCCTTAGTGGTGGGATGTACATTGCGGTCAAACAACTAACGTTTGTCCCAGACGCACTCGGCTTTGGCAGCTAGATCGTGTACGGCATCCCCATACTCCTGTTCATCATGAGTCCAAGAAAAGTGCAGATTAACTCGTCTTAGATGTAAACAATAAGCCAGGTTGGATAACTTCATGCCTGTCATCACGGTGTTTGATTGTGTCGTCATAATATCTACCATCATTACACAGACTGCAACCGAACGGGCGCTAAGAAGGCATACATAGGTTTGTGAACCGCTTATTCAATGGCCTCAGGCATCGTGCCGCGCTGATGAGCCAAGATTACAGATTTCCTCAGACCTCGGGATTGTGGGGCCGGAAATTGGCTTGTTAGGTTGGCACCAATAAGACCCGAGTGGCTCTGATTATGTAATGACCTTAGCTCGCGACAGCCGCCTGGGTTCCATCAGGGGACTTGACCGCTCCTCCTGAGACACCTAACCGCCATCCATCCCGCAACCATTAGTGAGGATTCTACTGACGACTCGATGTCCGACGACTCAACTTCCGACAACTCAACTTCCGACGACTCAACTTCCGACGACTCGACTTCCAACAACTCGAATTCCGACAACGACTCAAACTCTAGAACCACCACTGTTGCGATCCGTTCTAGGACTGCTGCCATAAGTTCTAAGAACGCTGCAATCCGTTACAGGGCTGCTGCAATCCGTTCCAGGACTGCTGCATCCGTTTCTAGGAATGATGCATCTTTTTCTTGGGGTGCTACATCTCTTTCTTGGAGAGATGCATCCCTTTTTAGGACTGAAGCATCCCTCTCTTGGGATGATGTAATCCGTTCTGGGACCACTGTAATTAGTTCCAGGACTGCTGCAATCCGTTCTGAGACTGCTGTAATCCGTTCTGAGACTGATGCAATCCGTTCTGAGGCTCATGCAATCTGGTCTGAAGCCATGCGCGATACACCTTCAACATCGTCCGACTCTGAGGAAGAACACTCCGATACCTGCAACAGCGACGACATGAACGAAGACACACGGGAGTACTACGAAGAACTTGCGCTAAATCCACGTCGGCCCCGGTCATTTGACCGCTTCCTCGATCTACCAAAGGAGCTGCGTCTTATGATCTACGAATATGCGGCAGATTGCCAACGTCGCTTTCGATTCGTGAATCGATACGTTGCCATCACGAACTACGAATCCATAACGCCCATTCATCTCACGTGTCGAGCAATTTGTGCGGAGGCTGCACATCTGATGAAATCTATCGTTGAAGCACAGCGAGTCCCGCAAGCAATGCGAGTCCCCCGTATCATCGTTAATGAACGGTCATGGGATAAAATGGACGGTAACAGTGAGGTTATCAGCAAAATTTGCAGAGTGTGCGAAGAAGCCAGATCAAAGAAAGTCAGCGTAAAGAAGGTGGACAAAATCATGCGGAAATCGGATGCAGACCAATATGGCAAAACGGGTTGGCCATACCACCAATACTCCGAGCGAGCATGCGAGGTCATTGCCAACTTTGCCAACTCCGCGGCCATGTATTTCGCTCGGCACGATCCTGAGAAGGCTCCTTCGTTATCTTTTCCCCGATTGTCCAACGATGCTATCGTAGTGTATGTCGCGTTGGTAGATGCTCCGATTGAAGAAACTCCGTTCTTCCGGAGTTTCTTCAAAGACGTAGGAGTTGAAATGCAACAGCATGTCGGTCCTTGTATGGACTCTACCGAGGACATCCACGAAGAATACTCTGTCATTGGAGAGGAAAATGATTACGATGGCAAGCACAGCGTCGTCCTGTACGATGTAAGGCGGGAGCCACGAGAATGGGAAGAGGGAGAACCTCCTGTTGAAGTCTACTACGAGGGTGTTATTGATGAAGAAGCTTGGGAGCGGGACTGGACATAATGCGCTAGGGAACTATGGAAAGGATCTATTACAGTACGGATGTTGAGAAGGGGGTGTGAAAAGGTTGAAGAGCGTTCAAGGTGCTCGTGATACGCTTTCAATCGGGACGGACATGGGTGGCACAAATTTGCTCGTGTTTCTTTCAAGGTTATGCTTTGTTGGTATTATATTTTCTCCTCCAGAAAGATGCGAACGAAACCCACCCTAGGGCATTAATAAAACTTTTGAAGATGTCATCTCTTCTTTTCCCACAGAATTCAATTTGCTCGCTTATCAGTGTCTGTGCTAGATTGCCTTGCTAGGATTAGGCTCCGGAAGCTTTTCAAGCCATTTAGCGTAATAAGTGGTCTCTCCTAGACCATGTTCACTGACGTCTTCCGGGATTGTGATACCCTTTGCACGATAAAGTTTCCCGACTGTTGGTATTGGCGCGCCTTCTAACAATTTGGCGTACACAGGAAATCGTGCATCACGATCAACCTCAAGGTACGTGACTAAGACGGACTCGAACAAAGGCTTGATGCAAGTATAGGTGACGCGGCCCTCAAACTTCCAGCAGATGCCAGTCTTCAGACTAGCAGGTTCTGGATTCCTCGCCAGTTCGATGCTCTTGATGTCGTGGATGCTGCTGTAGAGACCGGGACTGCAGAACTTGCCGATGACTTTATACGTTTTATAGAGCATATCTGGCAATTCCTCGTACAAGGGCGCAGTAGCTGAAGAGATGAAGTGGCATTTGATGGTTTCGCTCCGGGGAAAGCCACATGGCAGTATCGTGAAAGTCATCAGGCCGTCTTCGCCTTCGTCGGCCCAACATTGCTCTACTCTGACGATGGTGCCGGTGAACATTATCGTGGTCGGCAGTGAGCCTCCTATGTTGACTTGCTCAAACTCAGGGCCCACGTTCTGTGCGATTACCCTGTCCCATTTTGTGATATTCCAAAGGTTCCCGTGATCATCTTGTCCCTCTACCAAGAGAGCGTCCGCGATGTCATGGGGATGAATCCCCCTCTTCCGCATGGCTTCGCGCAGGGAACTAGACTGCGAGTTGAGAAAGTCTTTCGATAAAGCTCTAAAGCCACCGGCTAGGTCGCTCCTCGTTTCCATCATGTCTTCATTGTTCAAACACCAGAGCAAATAGCTGGGGCTGGTGTCTGCGACTTGTTTGATGGTCTCGCAAGCACACTGAGGCGATAGCTACAACGACAGCACGAAGCATCATCGATTACAGCGCGGGATTTCCATTCGAAGTGTCGCACATTGAGGGACGACATGCAATTTACGAGTGGAAGGTAGGTGACGCAGGTAGAATGGTAATCACCGTGACACGTTCAGGGATCCTTGCAGCACACGCTCGGGCCATGTCAGCCCCCACTTTCAAACGGCTGTCACAGCCGTGCACATGGGAGGACGACTAGTCTCATTCTCCGCATGCGACCCTCTCGAGGTCAAATCGTGTCGCGGTAGTGTCTTCAAGTGTTGACCAAAAGCTCCTTGGCGACTTCGTTTTCCATTTGCTTTCTCCAGGGCGTATCACTGTTTGTGGTTTAGCCACGCGTCGTGCAGGTGCTCTACATCGCCGACGCGTTGCGCGTAACTTCGAGCCGCGTACCCTTACTTAAGTTGCGGCACAATTTCATATGCATACCGTGTTATGCGATCGAGATTCCCTCGCTTGTAGCGCTTGACTATTCTTCTCCAGGTCCGAACTTAATGCTGCAAAATTCTCCTCTTGCCTTTCTGCGATCTCGTATTCAAGCGAACGACTTCTTCTGATACCCACGATGAGCTCCGGCGTCAAGCGACAGCGACAACCAGCCGCATCCTCCAATGCCGAGTCCTCAAAGAAGCGACGTACCCAGACGCGCGCAGCACCCAAGAGCCGCGGCCCCTACCGTTTCACCTTCGGTAAATTTAAAGGCAAGACAATACAAGAAGCATACGATGAAGACTATGATTATATCGAAGACTTCATCGTCTTCAAGGGGATGATAGGTCGGAACGATATACTTAAGAACAATCCTGCCCTGAGAGCTGGTCTGCGCGACCTACCGAAATCCTGGTTGGAACGAAACTCAAGCTTAGAACGACTTCTGGACAACGACCAGCCAGGTGGTCCCAGTATATACGAATACGAGGCCATGGTTCCGAATCAAGGCATGATCAAGATGAACGAACGGAGCAGCAGCTGCAGGTTCTGGGAAGCGACCGATCGGGCCGTTGTCAGCGCGTCTCATCAAAACGCACCTACTGTCAAACTGGAAGACTTCGCAGAGGCGCTGGACGATTCTCATTTCACCAAGAGACTAAGTCCGATACACATAGCATTCACTGCCACGGTCATACGCGTCGAGCGGAATTTTACAGACTTCGGAATGGGTGGCTCGGACTTCGATCCTTTTAAGATACTGCCATGTGGTTGGCCGTGGGAATCTCCTCTGAGCACTGAAGTCTACGTTACAATTACTGGTCAGGACACGGTGTGGGCAGAGAATCTGAAGCCTCTGGTATACGGGCACTATCGCTTCAGTGGAAGTCTTGCTACCGGGTCTTCCCCTCTGACGGGCTGGCCTAAGAGTCTCGACGTTCTCAAGGATCCGGAGACTGTCGAACCGAGCAGCGGGTGCTGCTTTCGAATTGCTGGTAGAGTCAAAAAGGTGGATGGTAGGAGTGTCAAAGTGAGCGTCAAGAGGGAGAAGGCTCGTTATGCGGATGGCTGGGAGAAGGATGTCACTGTGGAACTGTCGGAAGGTGTCCAGGAGCCTGAACTTGACGCGTCATATGTATTCAACGGCCATCTCGAGCCATTCACCAAGGTGTTTAAGGATATCAAGTTCATCGCAGAGACTTGTAACAGGACCGGAAAAACTCCATCTTAAGCATATATTCAAAAGCGTCACCGCAGGTGCAATCAGCTGAACGCACAAATGGCTTGTGGCCGTATTTGCGGTGCAATACTAAGTGCATTTTTGCACAAGATCTAGTCTCTACATTATAACAATCTGCTTCACCTTCCCCTCCTCCTGAACCTTCATGCTATGACGTTTGATGTTTAGACGGCAGAACGGTCAGTCCCTCCACTCCAACAGCAACTTTTCCTCTTCGCCAAAATCTCCATCTTTCTCAACAATACCCAGATCCTCCAGCTCGCGCTCAAAGTTCTTGGGCTTGTACTCCTTCCCCGCCAACTCTGCGACTTGCTTAGCCAGTGCATTGCGTTCGTCTCTCATCTCCGCAAAGAGCAGAAACCAGGGGGTTTCGGGGCTGAGTCCCTCACACTGCAGCCGGCTTCCTTTCCCAGCCCCCGTTTCACATCTGAGCGTTGTCGTTCGCCAAGTCCACCGACATGTCGTGCATCTCCAGTATTTCCACTTCTTGGGCCGGTCACATGTGGTACATTTTTGGTCATGAGGCCCCATATAAGTCGTCTCTACTTTATCTTCTTTAAATAGGGCTGGACAGTCGACACAATCGAAAGCTTCATCTTTTGAAATCGGGTCTCCGATATTGGATCTCGGTGACTGTGGCGATCGGTATCTCTCTCGTGAGGACGGTGGATGATCTTCGGACGAGGGCGGTGAATATCTGTATCGTGGGGACGTTGAATATCTTTCTTGTGATCGCATCCGGCTTGCTTCTCGTGAAGGGGAGGAATATCTCCCTTGTCGATGCGGTAGATATTCTCCGGGTGGAGGCGATCGCAACAATCTTGGTCTTTCATTCCAGCGATCCTCCTGATATTCTGGTTCACTGTAGCGGGCCATTGAAAGAGTAGATTGCGTGATACCAAATGAGGATATTGCACCAATGAGCTTGGTGCGGTGGATGTGTGTAGGATACCAATCAGAAGACCAATCCGGCAGACAATTTATATTACCAATATGTGTCAACGAAGCTGTCATAAGAGAAAGGAATGGAGTGAGACACGTCTGTGGCAGAGACTGACTCTTTTACTGGCTCTAGACGGGGACCCAATGACTCTGAGTCAGAAAAGTTACGTTGAACAAAACCATTTCACCGTAACCTGTTGGCGTTTCCTGTCACGAAGAGTAAGTCTGAAGACTCAATTCATTTTGCATGTCAGTGCGGCATGACGCAGTGGAGGTAAACGAATCATCATGAAATCGAGCGCCTTATAAAGCCAATGGTTACAGGGAGGTGGAGGCACTGCTGAACTCCATCGTCTGTCCTTACGCAACCCAACCAATGCCGCAAAACCAACGAGTCTGACGCCACAGAAATTACCATGTACGATACAGGAAAAACATGTTCTCCTTTCCAGCTCTTAGACAGTGCCCGCAATACTCAAGTCCCGAATCTCCTGCAGCACCTCTTCCACCCGCGCATCCAGCTCGCCCTGTGCATACTGATCTCTTGTGTTCGCATCCAGATACTGCTGCACTTGCGCCATTCTTGAGTACGCTTCCGCACAGAACCTCAACTGAATCTTGACCAGCGCCTCGAAACTGGGGTCTAGGTATGGTACTCGCAGGTCGATGAGCTGGGGCAGCTCAGTTGTGAGGGTATCGTTGAGTTGATCGTACGCGGCCTTGGCGAGTTGTTCGTCCTTCTCAGCGCGCGGTAGCTTGGTGACATCCTTGTCAGGCTTGTCGGTGAGCTTCCGGACTTGCGCGCGCATGCGGTCGTAGTCCATCTGCTTGTGTTCGCGCTTTGTGATGCAGGCGTTGATGTCGGGGAAGTAGGAGCAGAATCGCTGGATGGGGTCTAGGACGGTTGTTCGGTAGGGGCCGTCGAGGGCTTTTATCGTCTCGGCGTCTAGGTCGGTAACGGCTTGCTTGTAGGAGCGCGATACGCCGTCTTTGGTGCCCGCGTCGCCGTAGAAGGCGTCGATGGTTTCGGCGATGCGCATTTGTGAGGCGGTCATGGCGCGCAGAGAGTCGAGGTAGCCTTTTGCTTCCTTTTGCAGCTTGTTCGCGGCGGTCTCCATAGTACGGTACCGGCTGGCGTCATGTTAGTCGTGGTATTACGGTGGGATGCCTTATTCTTGTATGAAGTATGCATCTGGTGTGCTGGAGAGCGTACCGCTGCTCAGTCTCGAAGTCGCGGTCATTTGTGCGCTCGACTTGGCCAGTCTTCATAAGAACCTGCGTCGTCGCGCGATTGACGCCTTTCTTGAACCCTGCGTCTGGTGAGCCGGCGGCTTCCTGGATGATCGTCGAGGGGCTCCTTACCGGTCCAAGACATGATTGCGCTGTAGTCCCTCTACTTCCGGGCGACGGTATGTATAGTGAGGTGAGTGAGGTCTGGGATCGTGGGTGGTAGTCGTGGTGTTGCGGGGAGAGTAGCGTGAATGGAGAAGGAGGCCGTGGTTGGGCGCAGTCGAGTGGTTGTTGGCGGGCGGCAGTGCCACAATGACGACGCTACAAGACCCCGGCCGCGCTTTCTGGTGGCTGAGCAACCGCGATTCCGATTTTGATACAACGACCTGACTTCAATGTTTTCACTTCGACCGCTGCAGCGTGCAGCGCCCTCACCTTTTCGTGTATGCTCAGGCTGCCTGCGCAAGTACTCCATCGCCTCGCCAGCGAGACAGAATGCCGGCAAGAACCAGAAGCAGGTGATATTCTCGGGGATCCAGCCCACCGGCGTACCGCATCTTGGAAACTATCTCGGCGCACTGCGGCAATGGGTCAAGCTGCAAGATGAGGCATCTCTGGATACAACGCTTCTTTTCTCAATAGTCGATTTGCACGCGATTACGATAAAACAAGATCCGAGCGAATTGGCAAGATGGCGGAAAGAGATGCTGGCTAGTTTGCTGGCAGTAGGACTTGATCCGAAGAGATGTATCATCTTTGCGCAAAGTAGCGTGAAGCAGCATGCAGAGTTGATGTGGATCCTAAGTTGTGGTGCAAGCATGGGTTATTTGGGACGGATGACCCAGTGGAAGGTATACAACCGCGAAAGTAGACCTAGGAGGCATGATGTTGACACTGTCTTAGAGCAAGCTCTCCCTCCCATCCAATGCATCCCCTCTCGATCCCTCCAACAACAAAGACGCCCTCAAACTCGGTCTCTTCTCGTACCCGGTCCTGCAAGCCGCCGACATCCTCCTCTACAACACGACCCACGTTCCAGTCGGTGAAGACCAAGCACAGCATCTCGAGTTCACGCGCGAGCTGGCCAGTGGCTTTAACCACGTCTATTCGGAGTCAGACTCTCTCTTGACTGTTCCACAAACACTTCTGAGTCCCGCCAAACGAGTCATGAGCCTGACTGAGCCCACAAAAAAGATGAGCAAGAGCTACCCGAAACCGAAGAGTCGCATTTTGATAACAGACTCAAAAGAGGAAATACATGCCAAGTTGAAGACGGCACTGACAGACTCCATAGAGGGAGTGAGTTATGACCGCGAAACCAGACCGGGTGTGTCAAACCTAGTGGATTTGATGTATCATTTCGATGAGTCGCTCGCTGTGTCGCCGGAAGATCTAGCGAATGACTTGAAAAGTCTGAGCATGCGCGCTCTGAAGGAGAAGGTCGCCGATACCGTTGATCTCGGCATCAAGGATACAAGAGAATGTTACCAGGAATTGATGAGTGGAGATCAGAAGGAGCTTATAGGGCATGCAGAAGAAGGAGCGCAAAGAGCAGAGAGAATCGCCGAGAGCACTATGGAGAGAGTCAGGAATGCCATGGGCATCGGGTGGTGAGCCATCGAGTGTTTATTCCATGAAATGACTGTCAGACTGGAGAGTCCAGTGTATGCTACGATGTCTTCAAAGGGTGACACAACCCACGCACCGTCTTCCAGAAGCCTGGGCATGTCATGATGGTCACTGTACAACATCCCACGGACCAATACAAGTTCGAGTCATCGCTAGTATATATGCCTATGCAGCAACTTCTTCATCGGTTCTGCATACCTCTACATTCATACTGCGCTCTACAAGCACCGTTCCCACCAGTTGATACACCAATCATCGAACATAAAATCAAACCCGAGTTCTCACATCTACACCTCTAGAGTACAGTCCATCTGTACCGACGTCTTCCCCAGTGACTCCACCACAAGTCACCCACAGACACTGCATCAAGATGCCAGATGGAACATCAGTGTCGGAACACAAAACATATCTTCTTGTACCACCAGCAAGTACATCCCCCGCTGATATCATCACTACCGCCAAGAACGTCCGCGACCACTTGAGCGAGAATCCGCCGCCCGACGAAGGCCTCAGATCACGACTCAGTGAAGAGGGCTGGGTTCCCGGAGAAAATACTACCGAAAAGACGTGGTCTTGCCGTTCGTGTGATAAGTTGGGAACTGATAAGGATGCTTTATGTCCAGACTCGCTTTGCAAGGGCGTCAACAAAGCTCACATCACTGAGCACTTACAGAAGTCGGGGTTTAGTTACTTTAGAGTCGACATTAGGGACTGGCCTGCGGTGCTTGAGAAGGTCAGTAAGGATAAGATAGATTTTCAGGATTCATAGAAGGGAAGCAATTGACATTGGGGTCAATAGATGCCTTGTACTCTACCGGAGGCCTGCGAATGGATGAAGTGGAGCAGTTAACCTTTTAATGTACACTGGTATTGCGTCAACTCAAGTGTGTGCATCGCGCAAGAGAGATTGCAAATGCCAATGTGTATGTAATTCATGCATTCCCTAGTCTACGGCCATTCATACGCAGCCACTGCGCCGCCAATTGCAAGCCCAAAGTAGCCATGCCACGCATGATGAAAAGATGATTCAAGAACTCCGTTCCTATGCAGTGTAGATGCCGTCCTAACCGTGACCGAACCCTAGGCGTGAAAGCCCGTTGCAGGCGTAACGCCATGAATACCATGCCGAAACCGAACGCCGCGCTTATGATGAAGACGTGGAAGAAAACCGAGGAATGGAAAGTTGGGCAAGGGGGTGAGAGGGCGATGCGCAGTTCCTAGTGCGCGAGTGTCCACCATATCGTTGGACGGGGGTGAGGGGGAAATGGAGTAGGGGCTGTCGGATCGGATGATGACCAAGAGAGGAGTGTTGAGGTAGGTGATACTGTCGGTGAAGGGACAAGGATAAGGGTGTCAGAACCCGAATCGTCTTCAGACGCTGGGGACCCACCCTTAAGTAGCCCTGGCATGCGGATGTGAGACATTCGCATGATGAGGGGCTCAGAGTTGCAGTCCATGGGCAACGTCTAGCGCTTCATGGGGGTATCGGCGTCCTCATCATCTTCAGCATCATCGTCATCGCCTTCGAAGTCGGAATCCAT